ACACCGGCCAATGCAGTCACTTGGGGAATGAATCATTGGAAGGAAGATCTTCCTCTCTGTCTCTCCTCCTCTCTGTATATCTGCCTTTGTAATGAAAATAAATCTTAAAAAAAAAAAAAAAGCAAGCCTGAGGAATGTGCCGCCCACCTACGCACCCAGATAATCCAGACAGCTAAGGACTTAGATCACATGCGGCTGGAACTGTTTTTTACCGAATCATATTCTGATGTAAGAGCAACCTACACACCAAGTCAAAGGAATTTTACTACAACACAGCACAGCACTCTGAAATTCAAGTGCTACTTTCTTAAGGATGGAGTTGAGGCATTGTCCAACACAAGCAGGCTTCGGGGATCTGAAGGATAAACTGGTATCAGTGATCTTACCATGGACATTCACCTAAGTGAAATTATAATTCTGCTAAATACTAGAACTGGCAAATATCTGCTAATAAAAAGCAAAGTCAAAATTGCAGCTCTCTAATGCTTCAGTCCAACTGAGTAGAGTACAACAACCACTCATCTCATATGTAGCAACTGCATCTTTAGAAAAAAGTATGAATATTTATGGAACAAGATGTTCTATAAGTAAATGATATGTTCCACTTTAAAAGGTTGTAGCACAATAAGAAGACATTTTCTTCCATCAATAAGGCATTTTACAAATTTGAGCTCTAAAGCTTCCCTTTACATACTCCAAAGTGCTTTCTAAGTGAAAGAAAATGTTTTAATATTATGACTAAAATTAGAAAACTCTAACAGAGAACAACAAAACACTTTCATTATGGGCCAAGTGCAATAGCTCGATGGGCAAAAACCTCCCTTTTCCAGTGCCCGAACCCCACATGGGTGCCTGTTTCCACTTCCCGTCCAGCTCCCTGCTTGCGGCCTGGGAAAGCAGTCGAGGACGGCCCAAAGCCTTGGGACCCTGCACCCGCGTGGGAGACCTGGAAGAAACTCCCGGCTCCTCACGTCAGATCAGCTCAGCTCGAGCCAGGGCGGCCACTAGGGGACTGAACCAGAAGATGAAAGATATTTCTGTTTCTCTTTCTCTACTATATATTTGCTTTTCCAAAAAAATTAAACAAATCTTAAAAAAAACAAAAACAATTCCATTGCATATTAACTTTAGATCACACAAAAAGTTAAAAAAATACTATGTAAAAAAACCCCAAAAAAGCCCATTTTAATTTTAAATTACAAACCAAATCATTATAAAAAGCAATTACAATTGAGCATTGAGTAAAACGTAGCAGGCCAACTTAAAAATTTTTCCATAAATTTTTGTACAATCTGTTTTTTTTTTTTAGATTTATTTATTTTATTACAAAGTAAGATATACAGAGAGGAGGAGAGACAGAGAGCAAGATCTTCCATCTGATGATTCACTCCCCAAGTGAGCGCAACAACCGGTGCTATGCCGATCCGAAGCCACGAGGCAGGAACTTCTTCCAGGTTTCCCACATGGGTACAGGGTCCCAAAGCTTTGGGCCATCCTCAGCTGCTTTCCCAGGCCACAAGCAGGGAGCTGGATGGGAAATGGAGCTGCCGGGATTAGAACCAGCACCCATATGGGATCCCGACACATTCAAGGCAAGGACTTTAGCCACTAGGCCACCGTGCCGGGCCCTGTACAATCTAACACAGAATGCTGTCAATCACTCTCCTTGAGATAACACAGTATCTAGAGCCCCCCCAAATTCCTGCTACCTCCTGCTTCCAGAATTTCAGCAATCTTCTTGCAGTGGCTGGGAAAATAAAAAGTTTAAGAACCTCAGTGTGTTGACAGTTCACCCACTCACAAACACATATTTATCCTTCTGAACTTCTGACACTGAATTATATTAATTAATTGATCACAATCCTGGCTTTTGGTCCTCATAGTGACCACAGGCAAGTGAGCTATGCCACCAGAAACAAGTAAAAATGGCAATAAAAAATTACTTTCAATTCTACTGATAGCTTCATCAAAACCCAGGAATCCTACAGGGAACTTGAAAACACCACCAGCGTGGTAGCCCAGTGGCTAAAGTCCTTGCCTTGCATGCGCTAGGATCCCATCTGAGCGCTAGTTCTAACCCCACTTCATCCAGCTCCCTGCTTGTGGCCTGGGAAAGCAGTTGAGGACAGCCCAAAGCCTTGGGACCCTGCACGCAATTTGGATCAGTGCAGCTCCGGCAATGGCAGCCACTTGAGGAGTGAATCAACGGATGGAAGATCTTCCTCTCTGTCTCTCCTCCTCTCTGTATATCTGACTTTACAGTAAAAATACATACATAAGTAAAATCTTTTTAAAAAAGTTACTATCTTTCACTAAAGCTTTATCTAAGCATCTAACAATGAGTTAAGTAGAGCCAGCACAATGGTTTAATTGGCTAATTCTCCACCTCCAAGCACCAGGATCCCATATGGGCGCCGGTTCATGTCCCAGCTGCTCTACTTCCCATCCAGCTCCCTGCTTGTGGCCTGGGAAAGCAGTTGAGGACAGTCCAGAGCCTTGGGACCCTGCAGCCACATCAGACACATTGAAGAGGCTCCTCATTCCTGGCTTCAGATTGGCTCAGCTTCTGCTGTTGCAGCCATCTGGGGAGTGAATCAGCAGATGGAAGATATTGCTCCATCTCCTTCTCTCTGAAAATCTCCTTTCAATAAAGACAAGTAAATGTTTTTTTTTTTAAATGAATTATTTAGTGGGATACGTCAACTGTTGTCTATGTTAGACAGTATAGGTTGTGGCAATTCAGCTATATGAAATAAACAGTTTCTCTACCATGATTTATTGAGGGGAAAATTTATGACGACTTTGAAAATGTTTGGTCTTCACTGTGAAACTCTTGTTTTATTGCAGCAACCAGGGACGGGCTAAAGTCACTTGGCAGCAGGTCTAACGTGAGTCACAGGTGCTGTTAGGATACACAGGTATCTCCTGTATTTTAGAGGTGGGTCATCTCTACTACAGACATTTACTTCACAACCAATAAAACACATGTGCCAGATATTAAACTCACACAGTCAGGTGTGAAATTCTGTCTCTAACTGCACACTGACACAGGGCTGGGGTTGTGGCACAGCACGTTGAAGCCGCCACCTGCAATGCTGGCATCCCACAGGGACACGGGTTCAAGTTCCAACCGCTCCACTTCTCCCCAACTCCCTGCTTCTTTGCCTCTGAGCCAGGAAAAGCAGCAGAGGATGATCCAATCGCTTGGGCCTCCAGCTATTCCCCACTCCCGGCCCCTCGGTGAGACTTGCAGGGAGCACGGGGCTTCAGGCTGACCCAGCTCTGGACAGGGTGGCCATTTTAGGCAGTGAGCCAGCAGATCAAAGATCTCTCTCCGTTTCTTCCTCTAGCTCTTCTGAATAAGCAATTCTCAAAGTTCTTTACCTCGTACAGGTAAATGAAACATAATCTTAGTTCTAAGACCAACAACAGAAATCAATTATTCTGAATGAATGCTTGTGAATTCCCAATGTACTTTGTGAAGGCAGAGGAGGCAGAATTCCTGTTTAAACACATGTACAACTCGGTTGAAGAGACACCCGTAACTCAAACAAAGTTCGTAAATGAATACAGAATTCAAACGTTCATTGTAAGCAGAAGACAGAGATACAAGCCAAACGAAATCAAGCACTAATCCGGCACACTGCCCCTGGGCAGGCCCATGTGGAAGAGCCAGGTAAAATTCCATTTCAACCACACAGTAATTCCACAAGCACCTCCTTGGAGTCAGTGGCCTCTCCTCCGCTCTTCCTCCCTCCCCCCACAGTCTCACCTGCTTCCAAAATGCCCATCCCACCTGGTTAGCTTGAGCGTTACTCACACTGCAAGACACTTCAGAAAATACTCACTTCCTCCACCCTCCACACCCATCTGGAAGGTCACAGCTTAGTTACACACACCGCTCGCAATACTGTATTATTAGTATCTTTGCCACACCTCTCTCTCTCTCTCTCTCTCTCTCTCTCTCTCTCTCTCTCATCAACTAATGCCTCCAAAGAAACAGGACTGCTTGGAAGGAAAGTTAAAAAAATAGTAACAATCATCAAATCGTCCCCCCTAAGACCAGCAAGTCTGAGTTAAATCGCGTTTATCCTTCAAGGATGAACAACATAATCAAATCTTCCAGCATCTCTGGTAAGCTTTCTTGATATAACTATTCTTTTTCTTCTTTAACAATAACAACAACAAAAAACTATTTTTTTTTACCTCCCCCTCCCCTCACTCCCGCGGGAGGGAAAAAAAAAATATCTTTTCGGCCTTTGTGGGCTTGAACCTGCTCCCCCAGTCGTCCTGGCAAAATTTTCACATCGAACTTCCAGGCGCGCCCACCGTGACAATTTCCAACCGCAGACACTGGTCAGTCGCGCTGAGACACCACCAGCTGTAGATGACCTGGCTCTTCTCTCTCTCTCTCTCTCTCCACGGAAAACTTCCGTGATGGGCACCGGCTCTCCTGCCGGGACTTCTCACCCAGCCCCGTGTCACTTCACCCTCCGTCGCCAGAGGAAGTTAGCACTCCAGACTTGAAATGCCCGCGCCACCCAGGACACCGCCTTCGCTGCTCCCTCCCGGGCGCCCCTTGTCTGTCCCTCGCGGGGGTCCCGTCCCGGTGCCCCTGCCATCGGCCAGCCTCCCACTCTCGACGCCTTCTCGAAGAGCCAGCCGCCACTACAGGTGTCCCCTTCGGACGGAGCGGAACGAGGGGGCAGCCACCCCCCCCCCCCGGAGGGTGCCCGTCCCTCGGAGTTCGGCCGGGTCGTGCATAACTCGGGGGAGGAGGATGAGTGACTCGGACAAGGGAACCGACGCTGGCCTAGAGCCGGCAGGGCCGCGCTGCCCGGCGCCCGGGTGTGGGACGCAGGGCGGCAGGAGACTCACCGAGGCGCGGACCCGTGACCCCGCAGCCCCCTCGGCCTGGCAAGATGCCCTTCCTGCCCTCCCGCCCTCGCTCCCGGACCTCCGAGCGGCGCCCACCTCCTACCCGTCCCTCGGAGCCTCACCCGCTCCGCGGCTCCACCGGCGTCGAGGCCGCCGCTCTTCCCCGCGTCGTTCCAAGTAGGTCCTGACTCGGCCGGTCCACTCCCCGCCCTCACACCCGCCCTCCCGCTCACGCCCCGCCCCGGCGCCGCGAGCGCACGCACGTCACGCACGCCGCGCCACGTCACGTCCGGGGCTTTGCGCCGCCGGGCGGGGAGGAGGCGGCTGAGAAGGGCGGCGGGGCGGTGTGGTGACCCGGCCGTTCCTCGTGGCCGCCCGGAGGAGCCGCGGGACGGTGGGGTCACCCCGCCGTGCCTCGAGGCCGCCCGGAGGAGCCGCGGACGAGCCGATACTTCCCTTTACGCCCTGCTTCTGGGTTCCGGCTTGGAAAAGCTTGAGAGCATCATCCGGCCTCTGGAAGTGGCACGGAATGGGAGAGCGTCCCGAAGCTGAGGGGAGGGAACCACCGCTTCGAAGTAGCGAAGGAGGACGCCTCTGCGGAATGTAGGGTTTTACCAGCGTTCGAGTTAAAGAGATGGATCCAGGGGCCGGCGCCTTGGCCTAGTAGGCTAAAGCCCTGGCCCGTGGTGCCGGTTCCCCCTTGTGGGTGGGTGCTGCTTCTGGCCCCAGCCTGTCCCCATCCGATCCAGCTCCTTGCTTATGGCCTGGGAAAGCCGCCGAGGATGGTGCAAGTCCCTGGGTGCCTGCACGCACATGGGAGGCCTGCAAGAGCTCCTGGCTCCCAACTTCGGGTCAGCGAAGCTCTGGCCCTTTAGCCCATGAGCACAACAAAGCCAGAAGTTGAGTAAGTTAGCCAGGGCCACACACTGTTAGTGTTCCGGTCACACGTGGTGGAATCCTGTTCTGCTTCCCGTTTCTCAAATACCGAGTGACCGCCTGTGTGTCCTGGGTCAGTGCCATCTGTGCCATTGTAGTGCAGTACACGTTGTACTACACCCCTAAAGGAATACAAAGGGGCAAAAAAAATCTACGTGTGTGTGAGAGAGATGCAGAGTTGGCTTAGGATCTCAGCTTTACCGTCGCCTCTGTGATCTTGGACAGATGGCCTTCTGACTCAGTCTTTGCAGATTTTCCGAATAGGGGTTAACCGGCTGGTTCTTCAGTTCCTTCCCCCGTGTGTGACGCTGGCAAGGCTGAGAGTACTAGAGCCTATGAGAAAAATACCTCTGCTAGGTACTGGGTGCTTAAGGGAGAGGTGGGGAAGCCAACAGACAGCTACAGTAGTACACTGGACAGTGGTCATTGCTGTGGAAAAACAGCACAAAGGGAGTAGGAAGTGCAGCCAGCCTTGGTAACAAGAGTTGAAGCAAGCAGTCAGGAAGCCTGGAGTCCTGACGCTGCATCTGATTCCAGCTTCCTACTAATAGCATCCTGAGGAGCAGTAGGTGGTGGCTGAGAGGCCTTAGCCCCCTGGCTCCTATGCAGGAGGCGCATTGAGTGCCTGGGCTGTTGGCCTGGGCATGGTCCAGCTTTAGCTGTTGCATTTGTTTGGGAAGTGAATCAGCAAATGAAACTTTTGAGACTCTTAATTTTCAAATACATCTTTAAATCAGAGCAAGCATCTGGTGCAGCAATGGAGATGCCATTTGGGATGCCTGTCATCCTGAATGGAAGTGCTCTGCTTCACATTCTGGCCTCCTGCTGATGGGAGACAACAGGTGATGGCCCAAGTACATAGATCCTCAGCTCCTATATAGGTATCTTTGGGCCCGATGCAATCAGTGGCTCTGTGTCTAAATCCTCAACTTGAGAACACTGGGATCACATTTGGCAACCAGTTCCTGTCCAACTCCCTGCGTGTGGCCTGGGAAAAGCAGTAGAAGATGGCCTTTGGGACCCTGTACCCAATGGGAGACCCAGAAGAAATTTCTGGCTCCTTCAGATCGGTTCAGAACGTTCCAGGTGTGGCAGCCATATATAGGGAGTGAACCAGCGGATGGGAGATGTTTCGCTCTGTCTCTCCTTATCTATAGATCTGATCTGCCTTTCCAATAAAATCAAATCTTAAAAAAAAATAGATTTTTTTAATAGAAAGTGCAGCCAAGAAGTTTGAAGTTTTACAGTAGATCAAAAAGGCCTCACTGACATAATTCAAGCAAAAAGTGAGGGAACCGGCAATGCTGCTGCGCAGATTTCCGGGTAAGAATATTCTAGGCACAGGTATTGGCAAGTGCATAGGTCCTCTTTCTTTAAAACAAAAGACAAAACTTTTTTTTCTTATTATTTTTATTGGAAAGACATCTGCAGAGAGAAGGAGAAAGTTCTTCCACCTGCTGGTTCACTCCCTAAATGGCCACAACACCTGAAACTAAGCTTATCCAAGGGGAACCCGTGCCAGGTCCCCCATGTGGGTGCAGGGTCCCAAGGCTTTGGGCCATCCTCTACTGTCCCAGGCCATAAGCAGGAAGCTGCGTGGAAAGTGGAGCAGCTGAGACATGAACCGGGGCCCATAAGGGATCCTGACACTTGAAGGGGTCTTTATGATTATTATTTTAGATAATATTTACATTGTCAGGGTGAGAAGGATCTGGTATTGGGAGAGGTGGATGTGATCATTGTTTCCAAACTTTCTGTTTCTCCCCATTTCCGAGAGAGGGAGGAGATAAGGAGGTAGGCCATACCTAGTCTCCCAACCATCCCGGTACCTGAGGATGGGGAAAGGCCACCTGACTTCAACCCAGGGTCACAACGCGGCTCATGCTCCAAGGGTTCTGCCCAGATGGATGCGGTAGTTCTGAAATGCTATTGATCTCACTGATCTATAGATGAGGAATCCCTTCCAATGTCCTTCGCCTGATATAGTCCACCAGAGAATCTTCATTCACCCAGATATGTGTTGTCATCATTCGACTGGGGTAGTAGGCCATATGTTCTGTTCTCCATTCTCTGCTATGAGAACCATGGTCTGCCATGCAGCAGTCCATCCTTTACACTGAGGAAGACCAGTTCTCCTAGGTGAGCTGAGTCAGGCTACCTGGGCCAAGTCCCAGCCCTGGGGTTCTCAGACCCGGCACCTACCACACAGGCAGGCCCCAAGCCCCAGGCCAGGAGACAAGGCCAAAGAGGCCCTCTTGATGCCACCAACCTGTGTAGGCATGACAGAGTGAATTGAGAAGCAGAAGAGACCATAGGTATTTGATAAAATAAGGAGCCAAGCCTGAAGTCAATATGAGAGGGAATTACCAACAGAATGGACACTGGAAGGTCTGATTCACTGCGACCACTAATGGAAAATCCACCACATGTACAGTTAATTATTCCATTGCTAATTTTGATGTGGACTGTTGGTTTAGAGAAGAAACATGCTATCATGCTAAGTAATTTTTTTTTTTCTTTCATCCAGGAGTGGAAACTTGTAGCTAGGTTACTGATTCACATTCAAACACTGGATACATCATTGCCAAAATGGCTGTTAGTCAAAGAATGCTTATGAATATCCTTTGTCAGAGGATATTGCAGAGTCTTACTCCCTGCATCTTCCTGTCATCTTCTCCCAGTATCCCTAGCAAACTGTCCCTGTGTCTGTTGGTTTCTCTTTTCTCTGCTTCCGGTATTTTTGTTTTGGCCAAAACACTAGTGAAAAGAGGTGCAAAGTTTGCCTTGGGAAAGTAGTTATTTTAAAAAGGAGGTGGAGGATCCATCAATGACATTCTTTCCTTTGTGATATTAAATATTGGAAAAAGGGGCCTGGTGGTGTGGCCTAGTGGCCAAAGTCCTTGCTTGAGCATGTTGGGATCCCATATGGGCACCGGTTCTAATTCCGGCAGCCCTGCTTCCCATTCAGCTCCCTACTTGTGGCCTGGGAAAGCAGTCGAGGACGGCCCAAAGTCTTGGGACCCTGCACCCATGTGGGAGACCTGGAGGAAGTTCCTGGGTCCTGGCTTCAGATCGGCGCAGCACCAGCTGTTGCGCTCACCTGGGGAGTGAATCATCGGATGGAAGATCTTCCTCTCTGTCTCTCCTCCTCTCTGTATATCTGACTTTGCAATAAAAATAAAAATAAATCTTTAAGAATATATATGGGAAAGATGATTATCTTGAATTATGAAGTTTACAACAACTTAGTTTCAAATGAATTTTCCCATGTAGATTTCTTTTTTATTGTGTTTTCTAAAAAGATTGGTTTTTTTTTTTTTAAGATTTGCTTATTGGAAAGACAGATCTACAGAGAAGAGAGGAGAAAGTTTTTCCATCCGCTGGTTCACTCCATAGGTAGCTACAACACCTGGAGCTGAGTCTATCCAAAACTGGGAGCCGAGAACCTCTGCCAGGTCTCCCACATGTGTGCAGGGTCTCAAGGCTTTGGGCCACCCTCCACTGCTTTCTCAGGCCATAAGCATGGAGCTGGATGGGAATTGGGGTAGTTGGGATATGACCCAGTGCCCACATGGGATCCTAGCGCTTACAAGGTAAGAACTTAGCCATTGTGCCAAGCCATGAAAAGACTTATTTGAAAGGCAGCATGTCAGAGAGATCCACAGAAGCCAAGATTGGACAAGGCCAAAACCAGGAGCCTGGAACTTCATCTGAGTCTCCATCATATCAGGGACCCACACACGTTAACAGGGAGCTGGGTTGGAAATGCAATCCCAACAGGTGTGTTCATATGGATGCTGAGTGCACCACAATGCTGGCTTTCCTTTGTTAAAGAAAAGCAGCGTCATCTGGGTACCATTTTGTTAACGCTGAACAAGACTTGAATCAGAGACTAGGAACAATTACTTTTGGCATTGGCTCCCTATTAGTGATTGCAGGTGGCCTGATTTTACTAAACAAAGTTATAAGCAAAATGCGTATTTTGCGGTACAGTGCAGGAAATAATGCATAACTATGATTCTTTAACGATTCTGCCCAAATAATATACACAACCCATTGTGATCCATGCTTTCAACTAAATCATACTATTTCTAGAATGATGTTTCTGCAATTAAATATCAGTGTAAGATAACACCATTTGAACACAGTGTCATTTTCATAAATACACTGATTTATGTAGATTTGCTAGATTGAATATTGATTTCCGTAAAAGGAGTGGTCACTGTAACTTCAATAGAAAAAAAAAAATACACATTTTAGAAC